TTTTTTTTGTTAAAATTTTTTTTTTTTTTTTTTTTTTTTTTTTTTTTTTTTTTTTTTTTTTTTTTTTTTTTTTTTTTATTTTTTATATTTTTTTTTTTTTTTTTAATTTAATTTTTATTTATATGGGAGGGGGGTAAAAATAAAAATTTATTTTTTATTTCTCTGTTCTCCTTTCTTTACGTCTTCCTCTCTTTTTTCTTTTTATCTCCATTCCTTTTCGCACGCCTTTGCTCAGCTTCCGCCTCGGCCCGCCCCCTCTTGGCTCAGGGTCGCAGGGAGGCGGTCTAGCCGGAGGGGGTGGGGTGAGGCGGGCGCCGAGCCCCCGGCGCGCGGCCAGGACCGGGGTTGCCATGGGAACAGCGAGGGCGACGTCCCGCCCGGAGGGGGGAGGAGCCCGGGGCCGAGCGAGCGCGAAGAGGAGGGGGCTGCGCCGTCCGGCGGGGGAGGCGAGGCCTTGGAGGCGTGAGCGCAGGTGACAGGCGAGGGCCGGGAGATGGCGGGGTCCGAGGCTCGGCCTCACTCCCTCCTCCCTCCCAGACCCCCCAGACCCGCCCACTCTAGCGTCCGGCGCTGCCGGGGGTGGGGAGGGGCGCCCTCCGGGGCGTCGCCCGGGAAAACCAGGCCACTTCCTCGGCCCCTCCCGGCACCACTCTCGAACCGGCCTGCCGGTCCCCTGATCGAGACGAACCGCGTCTTTCCCCTAGAGGGAAACTGAGGCAGAGGGGGATAGGAGCGGGCTTGTCCGTGGAAACCTCTGCGCAACCTGCCAGCCTTGCGGTGTTGAGGGGCCACGGGGTCGGTGCTGCCTCGGCCCCCTGCGGCTCCCCTGGGACCCCCACTTCCCGAGGCCCGCGGCTCAGACAGCCGTTCCGCGTCGGGCGGGACACGGCCGGGGCTGGGGATGCCGGCAGGGGGTGGAGTATCTGAAAGCTTAGGTGGGATTTGGCCCTTTGGTGCAACAGACTCGACTAATATTTCCTACTAAAACTCTCCAGGTGGCAGACATCACCCATGAATTTGTACCTGAGTTCCAAGCACGACAAAGAAAGGACACACTCTCATCTTTGACTCCTGTTCAAAGGGAAAGTCAGCTTTGTGGTTACTGCTCCTGAGGGGCCAATGTTGACAAGGAAGGATTTTTTCTGATGGCACTGATTATGCTTAGTGTGTACCTCATGTCTTCCCAATGCCCAGCCCTTTGATAGAGGTCATTACATTTGTTGACTGCCCATCACTTGACAAACATGGTACTATAATTCCATTTCACTT